GGCTAAATATTTATGTAGATCTTTGAAAGAATTAACAATTTTATGATATTAAAATTTACTTTCCGTAAATTCTTGCGTGCATGCTCTAACCATATAACCTTAGGCATATCCATTTCTTTCCTCGAATTAGCCTAACAGGCGGACTATTATAGAATATTTTTCAATCTTGTCATACTGCTTGCCCATAGTGTTTCGATTCCTCGCCTGGCCTAATTACTAATAACATTATGCTAACCAATCGGCCTGATTATGTCAGAGAACGGCATGATCACTGGCCTATTTTAGGTTAACCCACATACCAAAAGGCACATACGCTCATAAACGCCAAAGATCATTCAGCATGCGTATGTATCCTTTCTGCACACGACCAATACAGCCTCTTGCCCGTGCTATAATGTTTTCAATAAGCACAGTAAGACTTGTGCAAACATGCACATGCGCATGCAAACACCCATGGATTTGCATGCAGAACCACACCCAGAAATATAGTCTCGGACGCCTGCGCCTTTCCTCCCTCCCGCTCATTCCTTGAACGTTCTTTTATACACCGCCGGGAGTGAACAAAGGCAATCGGTAACTAGGCTACAGCTCTAGAATTCATGATCCAGGCATCTATATAAAATATAAGGTAGAGGCTTTAAGTTTAGCTAAATCATTTAAACCATACAAACGAGCTGTTATGAGCAATGACATCAAGCGTAGTAGACATAAATTGCTCTTCTGAAATAATAGCTAATCGACAACATGTCAACTCTTCAAAGTGTCATCAAAATTGGCGTTCTATCAATACACAAAATGTCAAATCATGTTTCGAAAAACTTAGCACCATTACCCTTAAGAATGCCTATCTACTGAACTCTCTTAATTCAGCACAGTCCTCTCAACCACAGATTGCAGCTGGAAAATTCAGATACATTAATCCCTCTAACACTGCTATTCCGGAATCTGGTCTGTTCTGTGACACTAATCTTCCTTCGGATCTTCAAAACCGTATGACGACAAGACCTGTGAAGTCCATGTGTATTCAGAATAATAAAAAGTTAATTAAGTGTTGTGAATCTTTGCCCGTTACCAGAGAAAATACTCCATCCTACAATATGCCATTCTTCGACAGCTTAACTACCAATTCTCCACAGTCAGAATTTACCAAATACATGAGTATGGACTACAGTGAGAAGCAGCAAAAAATGTACCCCCTGACACCTTCACGCAGGAAAGCTCATCTTTCAAAAGGCCCCTTATTCAGTCATGGTAAACTTTCAAGCTGGCTCAGGCTGCATGTAACCATAGTCTGTCTTGCAACTGGCTTCATGGTAGTATTGGCTATGGTGGCACCAAGTATAGCCTCTAGCCAAAAATCGATTCTTGAGGTTTCGGATGAAATTAGCTCGATGGACAGGATGCTCTATTACCGTGGTGCGAATTCCAGCCATTTACCAAGCAGGTTGGATTTGATATATGACCAGGCTGGGCTAACTAATTCAACTAACGCTGGTGGACAGCGGACCTTACAAAGAAGAAATATTTTTCATCACCAACAAGGCAATATATATCCTGTCCAATTACGCAACAAAAACGGAGGGGATATGCGGATGCATTTGAATGGATCAATCGATATGGTATACGAGAAGCTTACTGATGAAGAGCAACTCAAAGGTATGCCCTAGAATGATAGTTTGTTTAAAACCAAAATAAATTCAACATTATCAAAACTGAATATCCTAATTCAATAAATATATGAATATTCCTTAAAGGCAATCTGACTAATTTTGAAATTGATAAAAATGAATTAAGTAAGTGTAAAACTACGTTGAGTCACATAATAGTTTTAAAAAAGAAAGTGATTTCGTACATTTCCATGTTTAATTCCCAAAGGATTTTGCTTCAAAGCGTGCAACTTCTTGATATAATTTAGCAAATAATCCTCTCTTGTGATGTTTTTTTCATGAAATTATATTTTCAGATAGATATAATCGAATTAGTTAAATTGGAAAACTGAGAAAATATAATATATTTATTTTTGCAT